AGGGAGCTGGAAGAGTGAAGCAGTTAGCCATAAGTGAGCAGTTGAAGCGCAGATAGTAGATATTAGTTTTGATATTTTAAGCAGTTCAATGGCACAATGTATTCTGTCTTTTGATTTATGTAACATTTGCTAAAAATGTAATTTAAAAGCGTTAATGCAGAAACAAACTGGTTCAATAAGTTTTAAAGCTTTATTAAAACCAGGGCCGTTTAACAATTCAAATCTTTAATTACAATTTTGCATTTTCTCAGACAATGTAGTTACAATGTAGCCTATAGAATTCAAAGAATGTTGGCATAGTTTCTTTGATATTTCAGCTAATTCGTTCAACAGAATGTTTTGCCTTGAGTTCGCATTGATGAAATGTAGACAGAGGAAAGCAAGAAGTACTTACTATGGTATCCAAAATACATCAAAATGCATTTCTCGTAGTGCAACGTCTCAGATGTACAGTTTGTTTTTATTGTTCTTTATCGTTATCTAGATAATTGCGTCAATTATGAGTTAACAGTTGCCCAGCAGTCAGTGGTAATTATGGTCCATGAGCCTCTTCAGCTGTGCAGTCGTTATTATTGTCACATAAACAGATTGAACCTGTTTGACTTTTGTAGATCTTTCCTCAGGCGTCAATGAAGAACTTCCACTGCTTTGTTTTGTTGTTGTCCTTGCGAGTTATTATGGTAGTCCTTTCTTGCCTGTGATATTACGTGTCTCCGTCTTTTACATAAATTAACAAAGTTCTTCCAGGACCTGGAGTGACAGACGTGAGCCTTGTTCATCTACTGTTCCTTGGTCCTCCTCAGAATTCAGGACATTGGAGAGAAGCTGTCCATTCACTGTTGAACCCAACGCTGTTGGACATATGTTGTTGTCTTCTTCAGAGATGGAAATGTAGGTGCTTCTTATAACCTGTACGTTTCCTACAAGCCCTCTCACATTCTCACAGTACTTTTCAAACATGTACAAACAAGACTGTTAAAGTTCTCAGTGGGGAAAATCTGAGAACCTTGGACTAGTTCCATATTCTAAGACAGGTTTCACTCCTTTCATTTCAATCATTTTAGTGACAAAGCCTTTTGGACTGAATATCTTAGTAGAAAACTCATAACTCTAACTCTAACTCATAACTCAAAACCAAACTGTAAAATACTATTACTAGTGTATTACAGTTTTACTAGTACGTTCATTTGGTTTTTAAAAGCCATTTTATAACATTTAAAAATCAAATGACACTGTTTTGATAATGGTGCATAAAAGATTAACCTCATCTTCTGACTAGCGCTGGGGGCAAAACTGTGGAGAGAGGCCCAATTTGAATGCTGCCAGATAAGGATCAGAGGAACAGATTTTTAAATTAAACATCAACATCACTTTGCCTCCAGCTGAAAAGTCCACTGAGACAAGTGCTTGTTAAATGGCTCACAAACACGCAGCCCAATGGCCTTTTGATTCTGTTTATTTCATTTTCACTTGATAACGGAGCACAGTGAGTCTAAAATTACAGTTATGATGATAAAAGGCCTTCTGTTTTTTTTTAAGTTTGTTTCCCAGCGCTCCCACGGCGACGCCTTTGTGTCATTCCTTCACTGTGTTGGAAACATATTCTCTAAACTCGTGTTTGAAGAGAGGGAGAAAAAAGTACAATTAAAACAATCCTATTAGCTCCAGTTCTGGGAATTATAATGGTATGATTAGGAGATCTGCAGAAGATAGGCTGCAACAAAAGTCAATGTTTATTTTGGTTACTTTGTCACTCCAGATCTGTGCCAGGTCCATTTAACATACTCAGTAGCCACACTGACTGCCACCTGCACGCACACACACGCGCGCACACAACGGCTGAATTCACCAAAAGGTGAGTCATAGATTCCCCCACCTCCTACTAGAGTAGTATTGTCCCAAGTACCATCAGTGATATGTGTACCGTAACTTAAGAACCACTGATAAAATGAAAACTTTCATTGTGACATATGTTAAATAAAGATCTATCTATCTATCTATCTATCTATCTATCTATCTATCTATCTTTTCTAATTTTTCTATTTTTTCTAATATAATTAAAGTATTAGACTTGGTAGAGACTATAGGGAAACAGACACAGTGTGGCATCTGTCTGTCTCCTGTCCCTCCTGCCTGAGTTCATCAGTGTCATCACCCTCACCTGTGTCTGTCATTAGTCTCACTCATGTCACCTGGTGCCCATGGTATATATATGCCGCCCTCTCTCACACTGTCCTCATTGGTTTCTTTGTTCAGTCTTTTTGTTGTTGCTGCTGCCACCACTGGTGTTTATTTTCATGCCTAGTGTTTGTGTTTCGTTCTCCTTTGCTCCTTGAATGCAGTGAATGGACAGTATTAAGTTTAGGAACTGTTAAATCAACTTCTTGCTTCTCAACTTGATCGCTCTAGTGCTGCATTTGGCTCCTGCCTGCTTCCTTGTTCCCAAAACAACATAGGTATTATTAAACAACAAAACCTCCGAATTCTATTGTTGCGTTTGCATTAGTTTCACTTGTGGTTCTAGTGCGTTGTAATTTTGCTAACATTGTACTATTTTTAACTAAGTATTTTCAACGGTGACTGTTCCACAAGGCCCTTAATGAGAGTTCGACTGACCTCTGGTGGCAGAATATGTAATCGAGTTTTAGTTAAATTGTTTGTTGCACAAACATTTTGGAAATACGAAACGTTTATCCAAATACATTTGTAATTTCATGAAAAGTAAATTTGTAAAATGGTGATACTGTGCTCTGAATTGATTCTGTTCAGAACTTGTATCACACCAAGAAATAAATGACCTTAGCAGCAGTAAATTACCACCAAAGGCAGGGGAAATAAAGCTGTTAAAATTAAAAACAAATTCTTATTTTAAACACTTTGGTTTGTTGTAGAAAGCTACAGCTGAGTCTGATAAACCTGATGTTTGTGACCAGTTTTACAAAGTAATTTCAGTGTTGTTTTATAAGTTGCTGCTTTGCGTTTATCACATCTTTCACTGCTGCTCTAACCCACGTTCTACCTCAATTCTTCTGCCAATTTTCAGCTCTGTCATTTACTGCTCACTTTTTCCCTCTATTACAGATGCTCATTCAGGCATCAGTGGGTTCTGATGACATCTTTATTCTTATGCAGATAAACAGGCACTACAGTTGGTAAAATTACAGCACTATGCTAAAAAAAACTGAGAAAGCCCTCTTGACCTCTGAAATACAACCCAAAGAACAGAAAAAAGTCATCTTCAACATCCAGCTCCTGCACCAAGCCCTGTTCCTTTTCCAAGTAGCAGAACAGACCAAGTACAGACGTGAGACATTTACAATACTGAGGTCATTCCATAGTGACTCAAACTAGGCCCTTCTCCGTGCTGCGTCGGTGTAAACTGAGCAGGATGGAGTCAAGTTCTGCGGAATCGAGCTCTTGTTCATTTCTGGAGTCTCTGCAGCGACACTGTGACAGACTCAGATAAGGCATTTATTACGTTTCTTGTCTTTATTCTCATTTCTCTGACTCCTGAGTTCACAAAGAGCAACTGTTGTTTTTGTGGAAAAGCACGGCGAAGCATCAACACTAGGAGCACACACGGTTTCCTCTCTTCCTGGCGGCAGAGTAGGCAGTTGTGGTCTCATCAATATTTCAGTAACAGATCCTCTTTCTGTTTTTCTCACTGCAGCTTTCTCTGTCTGCTTCCATAAAAGAACACCCATCCTCTTCAGCAACACTAGTGGTTACCAGGTGGAACAACAGACTCGCTACAGAGCGCTCGGCCACACACACGTCCTGGTCCGCGTTTGTAGAAAAGTCTGATTTAAACCTTCTTGGTTCAAACCACATATAAAGAAGTAGAACATTGACAAAGTTGTGCAATGATTTCCATGTTCATCCTGATCCTTTTTTTAATTTCACTTCAGTTTTTGAGTGGAGACAAATAAAGGCCATGCACTGGATCAGTTTGGAGCAGAGTTAGCATAATCACACACTGTATCACAGCAGGAACCTGACAATACACGGTTCACTTGTGACAGGGATTCATGAGCATCAGAAACACAACAGACAGAAGAAGAAACAGGAAGTGGTGAAAAAAAACGTTAAGGCGTTTCGTTGACTGGTTTGGAGGAGGAAAACAATTTGATTCATTCATTTTCTTCTGTCTAATTCATTATATGGTCATTAGGAGCCAGTCCTGGCAGCAATCATCAGGTCAGGGTTGGGCTAATCACTGGGCCACACACGGACAAGAAAACATTCACATTTATGCTCAATTTAGAGTGAACAATTACCATAACGTGTGCTTTTTTCTAACGTGGGAGTACCTGGAGAAAACACACAAAATTAGTTATTGGGGATGGGACCCGTGGCTTTCTTGCTGTGAGGCAAGAGCACTGATCGCTTTTTCCACCGTGTGACCTAAACTGTAATTATTTTCTTGCTGACATTTTAAATTAAAAACTAAAAACAACCACAATCATTCGATTTTGACAGAAATGATTGATGTCATGAGTGTACTTGAACCCACAGGCTGGTGTAGGTGTACTGAGCCACCAGCCTGTCTGTGCTCTTGTTAACAACAAGCGAAGACACATGACCAGTGCTGATGCTGAGGTGTTGGTCAGAAAGAGGAAGAGGCAGAGACGCTGCAGAGAGTTGTGTGTTGTCGCTTCCTCCTGTTGTCAGGTTCCTAAAAGCCCAGCTTTAATGTAAACAGCAGAGATGACTTCATTACAGGATGGAGCGAAATAACAACCACAAAAGAATAGAAGAAAAAAAACTATGCCCCTAAATTATTTTTAAACAAATGCTGAATGCTAGTTGTTTCTTCATTTGATGCTAAGCTAAATTACCCTGCGTCTGCTTCTGGATTCTAAACCCAGAGGAAACCAATGGTTTCTTTGAACTTCCAGGAAGACCGCAAATGATCTCATTCTCCCAAAATGACCAGTGAATCCAGCAATTAAAGAAACTGTACAAATATCCATATGTAAAAAAAAAATTAGAATATTCACATGGAAAACACACTGCATGGCTCATTCTCGCTGTTCAGGCACATCAGGCGATACCAGGTCACCGTCGCCTCGGCAGCATTTATGGTACGACGTGTTAGAAGCTGAAAACAAGCACAGCTACACACACAAAAAGGGACTTGTGTAGCGGGATCTTTTCTTCTGAGGTGACGACAGCCCACTGTGCCACTGAAAACATGAAAAAGCTTCACTTTCAAGTCTTTTTAAGAACTGGCAATGTGCGGGTATGACAGGAGTGGACTGGATTTGTCAGTCCAAGACAGGTGTCCCCAGCTTTTGAGGGTTAGATGGGCTCCACGTAATTGGCCGGGTAGAGACCCAGCTGACCGTTGTCTAGGCGACCTTTACACCAGCCCTGCTCGTCCTCCTCCTCCAGCTTCATCAGCTCGTCACCTGGTCATGGACGAGAGCACATGCAGCAGTACATGACAACTGTTAAATTTGTGCATTTGACGCCATAGTACAGTGATCATCAACTGGCCCACCAAACCGTCCAATCTGGCCCACCACTGGACTCCAAAATAGTGAGGCTCAAAGAGAAAATATTGCATGGTGCCCATTATTAAAGCAACGGAAAATAAATCACAACTGAGACTTAAATAAGTGTCAGTAAACCCCAATATTTATGTCATGTATTTTATTTGAGTGTCCAAGGCTCTGACAAATATAGTTGGTGACCCCGGCCATAGAATGACAAGTGGTGCCCCGGGCTACTCCCTCTAACTCCCTTTCCCCACTCATTAAAATCGAAAGAAAATTAAAACTTA